TCTATTACAAAACTTCACACGTTCAAAAGGCGGAAAAATAACTCCAGATAATTCCATACTAAAGCTAAAATAAAGTGTAATGCAGCTGTCTATTTAGGCTAAAAACTAAAAATTTAAATCAAAATAAACAGGCAATATAATATAAATACTTCGAGCATGTGCTCATAATCGTCTACTACCTACCAAATACCTAACTGAAAAAAGAAATAAGAACAAATGACATGACAATATCTATGTTTGTTACATTTTTAAAATTTGAGTAGTGTGATGTCCCTTGTCAAGGGATAATTATTGACATAACATTGACTTCTAATTAAATTAAAGTGATTACTTAATAGGCTGATAGGGGATCTGCCTAATTTATTGGTCCTGTTAGAATTAGACTCTTCCTCGAGTTTAATATTTAGTATTAAGGATTGAATCTTATTTAACAAAAAAAGTCACAGTCTATTTTATTCTGAAGAATTTTAGTGCAAAAAGTGAGCGTGTAGTGTTTAGTAAGTCACAATTATTCTTAAACCGAGGAATTAATAACGTGTGATCAGAACCTCTCAGGATGTAGACGAATAGGTGCCACGCATACAAACGAGAAAAACTTTAGGAATTTTCTCGAACTGTTTTGGGATTTGAGAGATGGATTTCATAGATTACAAACAAATAAGGAATGCGTACTTTAATCTGCATCTCACTAATGAATAATACAGTGTTAATGCTTTAACACTCGTGAACTCTTGACAATTTCTATAGATGAAGCCACAAGTTTTAAAAACTTTTGTTATACATTCTTTTATATGGTTTGTGAAATAGAGTTAATAATAATCAAAGGTCACATCTAGGTCACCGTATGATTCCATTATAGATAGATGATCTCCTCCTACATCAAAGCGATGTTCAATATTTTTTATCTTTCGAGGGAATGCCATTGCATAACTTTTGCTTATTTAAGTTTCAACGACTGGCTTCACACCATTTAGATAACAATAGTAATTTTCGCAGGAGAAGGCATTTACAAACAAGAGGAACAAACGAGTAAACATAGATGAAAATGAATCTGTTTTGAAATTTAGTTTTTACTGATATTACACTGAAATTACCTAAACTGATACATTTATATCCACCAAATTTTAGGAAAACGTATACTTGTGTATAGAGTGATGTGAAAATAGTAACCCAATAAATTAAATCTCTTTAAACGAATTTCGTTCAGCAAAATATATTCTGCTGGAGTTAGGTGGTTGGGTAGGTACCACAAAATTTAACTTAGACAAGGTGGAGGACAGTTTTTCAACAAGTGAATAATTAGCATAACCCTTCTGATTGGTAGAAGGCTCCTCCTTACAGTCATTAAAATCTGCCGAAATACGGCAAAACGCCACTTCCCATATCATCCTTACTATAGCACTTGAAGACTTGGGCGACATATCTACTTGTTCGTGATACAAAGATCTTCATGGAAATAGTTTTTATATTGCATTAATGGCTTTCGTTTTTTTAATAAAAAATAAAAACCGAAAAACTTATTTTTCTCTTTGAGCCAAAACTATAACGTATTTTGGCTTAAAAAAATCAGACAGTGTAGATAATATTATTGCTCACCTGGGACTAATAATTATTTTTTCGTTAAACTATCCATTTTTTAGTTATTGTTGATTAAAGCAAGACCTAAAAAGGGCATTTTTTGTAAATGTAGGCAACTAAACATCTTCTTTCGTCAAGAACCAGCCAAGAAAGTGTATGATTTACGATAGGGGTTGGCCACTATTGAGAGATTAGACGGATTTAAAACCCTTGTTGAGAAAATATGCAAATGAGGTGACCGTAGTGTGTTCTACCTGAAGGTTGTGGAATCGTACAATTATGTAGAAGTATTATATTAATCTAATTTCAGAATAACAAATAAATAACCGAGTTTGGATTTTTTACAAAACTGCTTAACAGCTATAATTACTGCTAATGCCAAATGTGAGATAAATTAGACAAATTTTAAAATTATCAATCACTGAAAAAGAAAAGAGTAGAACAACTTTTTCCAAAGCACACTATGAAGATTCGATTATATGTGACACTAATAATAATCGAATGTATGTGTTGAATTACTTACATATTTTTATACATATTATAGCCTCTTCTAAATTTAAAAATGTATATAAATTTTTTTGACTGAGACAGAATATAATGAGTGATCACATCATATCTTTCTGTACAAAATTTTCTGATCTCATGTTTCTGCCTACCTGGTAAGCCAAGAGGGGTACTGGAATTAGTGAAATCTGACTAACTGATGTGGGTTGATTTGAACAGGGGTACAGAAATTTATATCTCAGTCTACATTTTTAAATTTAGAGGAACTTATAATATAAAGATATAAGGATAAGTAATTCAATACATACACACGATTAGTGCCAAATAACTATTTAATCTTCATAATTTGCTTTGAATAAGTTTATTCTATTCTATTCATATTCATTGATTCATGATAATTTTGAAATTTGTCTAACTTGGGATCAGCAGTAATTATAGCTGTTGAAACAAGTTAGGCAGTTTTGTAAAAAATCCAAACTCGGTTATTTATTTGTTATTCTGAAATTAGATTAATATAATACTTCTACATAATTGTACGATTCCACAACCTTCAGGTAGAACACACTACGGTCACCTCATTTGCCTATTTTCTCAACAAGGGTTTTAAATCCGTCTAATCTCTCAATAGTGGTCAACCCCTATCGTAAATCATACACTTTCTTGGCTCGTTCTTGACGAAAGAAGATGTTTGGTTGCCTACATTTACAAAAAATGCCCTTTTTAGGTCTTGCTTTAATCAACAATAACTAAAAAATGGATAGTTTAACGAAAAAATAATTATTAGTCCCAGGTGAGCAATAATATTATCTACACTGTCTGATTTTTTTAAGCCAAAATACGTTATAGTTTTGGCTCAAAGAGAAAAATAAGTTTTTCGGTTTTTATTTTTTATTAAAAAAACGAAAGCCTTTAATGCAATATAAAAACTATTTCCATGAAGATCTTTGTATCACGAACAAGTAGATATGTCGCCCAAGTCTTCAAGTGCTATAGTAAGGATGATATTGGAAGTGGCGTTTTGCCGTATTTCGGCAGATTTTAATGACTGTAAGGAGGAGCCTTAAATCTCACTAGCTAAATATGTGTAATGACTAATGAACTAGGCTCTTTCAGGGTATATATTAGATTTATAAAGTTAATAAAATTCTTTGTACTGATGTACACGTACAAGTTACACTTTTGACAAACTGCGTTATTCGAAATAGTTCCCAATGTTTATCTGTAATTACTATTGGAATTTGACTTAATATACCTAACTGAAAAAAAAGTTGGTCGACTGTTATTTCACTCCTTTGTCACTTAGTGCGTTGATTATTTCCGGAAATTTTTTCGAATGCATTTCGCAAAACGTATTAATTATCCCTCGTGTTCCACTCGGGCTAATTAATACGTTTTGCGAAGAAAAAAATACGCTCTAGAAGAATCCACACCTTTAGAAAAATTGGCCATGATTCTTAAAGACTGAGCCTTTAACATGAAAAGAAACGATGGCAAAGAATACAAAGAAGCTGTGGTCAAAGTTACGTGGAATTCGACGCCCAAGCAGCTACAAAAGATTATTCGTATTACGAAAAATTTAAAATTAAATTTAATCCTTTTGCAAATATTGAACGCTGCTAATACCACAGACTGTTCTAACAAAAATGTTATTAATAAGTACAATATTTGTGTATTTTATTTAAATCAATAATAAATTTTATCCCGATTGTAATTATGTCAAAAAATTTCTATTTATTAATTTCTGTTAGGTTAGTAAGACGACAAAAATTTCCAGGAAATTTTTTCGTTGCTGCGATAACAGTCCTAAATTCTATTCTCTTATTGGCCTGTATTTGCGTATACTGTTATTTTTAGTATTACACTGCATCAATCCACGTTGAAATACCTACTTGTCCTTGCAAAAATGTTGATGACGTTATCACAAAATTGTGTAAAGTAAAAACTCAACTCGAAAATGGTGGATATGTTTCACTGTAATTTAGGTGAGAGGAAGTTCTGTCGAAACAACTTTCCACCAATTTTTTTCTTCAAATGGCCAAAACTTTTGGATCAACATGAAAGGAATTTTTTACATTAAAAAATATAAAACCTGTAAGATAGGTCAATAAGACGCTTACAGGTTGCACGATATTGTTTAAAAATTATGTTGTAATGATGATAAGTGAAGAATATTTTTGTACCTTTTATAACCATTAAATTTTAATTTTAGATAATGCCTAGTGGACCAAATGAGGTAAGCAGATTTTCGAAATGGATATTTGCAAAATTTCGGTGTCGTAGCAATAAATTGATAACCACAAAATAACGGGTGTTCAGCTGAAAAAATTCTCAAGTTGAGATTGCTTTTTTGGTAAAAAAAAGTAGTGAAAAACGCATGTGTTTTATTAATCCCTACTGTTGTATGTAATTGACATTTTCGTGTTATCATATATCATCGATTAAATTTTAGGCCTATTGAAGACATACTTCACAATCATTACAAAAAATCATGGCCAACTTGATGACTTACTTTTTCAGTTGAATACCCGATATGTAAAAAGCATTAAAATCATCATTAACATCTAATATGTCTTTATGACGTCACCCGAAAATTTTATTTAGAAAATCCTACATGCAGCATCGCACAGTGCTTTTTTTTATAAAAAATCTGCATCGGAAAATGCCTGAATTTGATCACGATTCAGAGAGCGAGGGAGATACTGTCTAAACTCTTTAGACATCTTTATATTATTGTCATGGTTAATTTGTTATAATTAATTAATAATGCGGACAATAATTTATGTAACAAGAAGCACTGGAAGGCCATAGGACACAAATAAAGTGTATAGTAAGTAAGTAAAGTAATAAGTAATAACAATTACCGTTACAACATTCTAACTTTCTTTAGATCTGTAGTTCTGTACTACACATTAACCTACCTTGAAGCTGTACCAAAAGCAGTGGCGATGGCTTGACTCATATTTGCTATATAACGGAAAGGCAGCTGTCTTGTTACGATAGAAAATATTAGTGGAAGTATTACAAAACCATGAACCATAATCCCGGCCATCACAGTTGCAAAATACAATCCCAGCTGACCTAGTACCGTTTCCATATCGTCCATTTCTATTATTTTAGCAATTACTAGGAACAAAATGCCCACAGGAGACAGTTTTATTATCCACGATGTTATTTTCATGCTTAGAGCCATCAAACTGTGAAAGAAATTAGCTAAAGTTATGGCTTCTTCTCCTAATTGTGCCAACGCGATTCCAACTACAACCGCAACCACAACAAGACCAAGAATATTAGTCCCAGAAACAATTTCCTCCACAATATCCCACTTGTACAAATCTGTTAAAAAGTGTAGTTATTTTTAAATAAACGAACGATTTTATAGTTAACATACCTTGTTGGTCAACATCGTTACCCGGAACAATCAAATTAGTGCGAGTCTGCAATGAAAAAACAAAAAATAGGAGTTATAAAGCAACAATAACACTTCATTTCTTTCTTACAAAAATTACGTATACAATTATCTTTACAGAAAACGTTAAAAGGCACATAGCAGGACATGTGTTTATTCTAACAAATTGTGTGAAATAAATAATTTTATTACCTGTTCCATGCAAGCTTGAATTATGTTCGGGGGAAACATATTCCTGAAAATACGGATAATAATAATAATAATAAATAACACTCTAATAACATATTACACAACATTATAAAGTTTATTACCCCTACTACAAAATAGAAAATTTCAAGAATTGTCGACGCATTTCGCCAAGTACGTTGGCATTATGTGAACAATACAACCTAAAGTGGATTCCATAGTATTGTCTAGATAATGCCAACGCGCAGACATCTTTTTTAATTTTGTATTTTCGATGTTATAAAGGTAACAAACATTATAAATTACATATATTACGCTACATAATTGTGCGAAGTAAAGATGAAGTTTACCACAGCAGCCACAACAGAAAAATAATACTAATGGTAATATTTTTACTTTTTACCTCCCGAGCGGAGGAAGTCTGTTTGTTGTCTGTGTCTAATTTTATTAGACAAATAATCTCCGAAACTATTGGACCGATTGTAGTCAAATTTTATGTATATTATCGTGTAGATAATAAAACGCTAAGCAAAATTTGTCTAATCGTTCCCACCAACAATTTGATGATGTTTGTAGTGAAAATTCTGTAAATTATATGAAATAATATACTCCTGCACTCGCGGTATATGTTTCCTCCATGACTTTTGTCACGATTGCTTTACAAAAAATTTGTTTGTGCAATATTTTCCACATGGTTTATATTTCCGATATCTCGTTTTTGCATCTAGACTTGGTGGTGTATTTTGCTTAATGCTTGATTTTGGACTTCTGCGCTCCCATCCTTATCGAATGTTTTTTTTTTACTGTGACTTGAAATATCTATATATTTTTACTTACAGGAGTTGTTATAAAATAAATAAAATTTTACATAATCAAATTTTATAATTTGATTTTTATCCACCAGCCATAAACCATAACTGCAGTTTTGTGGCTGTTGGTGTAATAAATTATTATCAATTATCACTGACGATCGTACGAAAAATTTTGTACTTAAAATGAGCGTGTTATAGAATAAGGGTCAAAAAATAAAACATTCTATTTTGAAAAATAATAAAATGGTACTTTTTGGTACATGCGGCCTTTTTCGGCAACTGCAAAGACATTTGTACATTTAATTGTTCGAATTCTGTTTAAATTATTAAAGTAAAAGGTAGATCCTAAAACAAGATTCGGTCAATAGGAAAGAACTGTTGCAGCTTTGTACATATACACAACTGTTTTTACATGCTTTTACTTGTAAAAACTCTCCTGCGCGTACAGATTTATAAAAAAATGCTTGATTTACCATTCCAGCCAAAGTAGTTATACTACCTCCTGCCATTGGAAAATATATTATATTTTTAACAATCTACTTATCAACAATCAGTTAATTGTGATTTTTTGCATCGCAGTATCAGTAAAAACACTTGAATCCAAAAGTCTTCTTTTAAGCAGATATACAAAAATAAAATTCACAGAATGTACAGTATGTATTGTAGTTACAATTTCTTACCTCAAACTCTATTGAGGATTATGCTTGAAAGAATCGAATCATATCAGGTTTCAAAATGAAAAGTGTTTATTGAATTTTTTTAAATAATACAAAATTAATAAAACAAAACTTAATTTTTCATTGACAAAGTTCTTTTTCTTCGAACGATTGGCATTCCTATTGTAGCCAGATCTTGCAGTATTCGTCTGAAGACACCAACAGCAGTCTGCAAGCATGGGTGGATACATAAAAGCGATATTTTTGCGATTAACTGCAATCAAGTGTCACAAAAAGTAAGGAAAACAAAACACCCGTTATCTATGTTTTGTGATGTGATATGGGCATAAAACATTTTTTTCTTTAGTATATAGTGTACACCCAATCTCAAACACTATCTGAACTTTCTGTGAATTTTTTAATGTTGCATAGTGTAATTAGAACTCTAAAAAAATAATAAAATTCATTTTAATAAGAAGCAGTAAGAACATTTGAAAAAAACAAAAGGTAACAGTCTAAAAGTGCCTTTACACTGCATGATTTGTCATATGACTTTTGCTAATACAAATCGTATGATAAGTTGTATGATTTCAAGGAATCATACCATTTGCAGATTTTGAGTTTAGACTGCTATGCTTTCTCATATGATTTTTTCGTTCGACTTGAAGCGTGGTGGGGTGAGAGCAAAGTGTCACTGTCAAACGACTCTAACCTAACCTAACATTTGGGGGAAGCGAAACACGTTTGCTTGACTGTGGATATTTTTTGTATTAGCCTCACATTAAATTTAAGAATTGTGTGTAGTAGTGAAAATTTTATACAATGAATAGTGAACAAGTGGCAAAATATCAAAGTGGTTTACTGTGCTTGATTGTGGGGTTATTAAAAAGAAAGCAATCGAGACGTAATAAAGTTAAACGAACTTTATGGAGTAGGAAATGGCTTCTGAGAAGAGACGAAGGCCGTGGACTTGGGTGTATGGTACTTAAAGAATTAAAATATGAAGATCCCGTTAGTTTTAAAAATTTTACAAGAATGAGCATCGCTACATTTGAAAAATTGTTGACCAAAATTGAACCCCATATTTCTAGACATGACACAATGTTACGTGAAAGTATTAGTGCCAGAGTCCGGTAAGGAACTATAGTAAATCAATGAGTAGGTGGTTATGTCATAATATATTACTATTTACAGGCTTCTATTGACTTTAAGATTTCTTGCGACTGGGGAAAGGTACATAAATCTGCACTATAGTTTTAGAATATCTGTACCAAGCATCTCTCTTATTATACCAGAAACGGTGGCAGCTGTTTATAAGGTCTTAAAAGATGAATATCTTGTGGTAAGTCAACAGTCTTTTAAAAATAAAATCTTCATAAGTAAAACCATTTTTAGACACCCACCACATCCTCCGAATGGAAGAAAATAAGTGATGAATTTTACAAATTATGGAACTTTCCGAATTGTTTGGGAGCTTTGGGTTTTGTGCTAAATTAACATAATGCAAGATTTCCTATAATCATATCTTGTTTATTTTAGATGGAAAACATATAGCTTTCCGGGCAACAAAAAAAGATGGCTCTTTTTACTACAACTATAAAGGGTTTCATTCGATTGTTCTAATGGCACTGGTAGATGCTCAGTATAATTTTACTTATGTTGATGTCGGATGTAATGGAAGAGTTAGTGATGGTGGTGTATTTTCTAATAGTACATTGTATACAGCAATTGAACAAAATGCTTTAAATTTCCCTAATGATGAAAAACTTCCTCAGAGTAACGTGGAAGTCCCATACGTAATTGTAACTGATGAAGCTTTCAGACTAACCAAACGAATGATGAAGCCTTGGGGTCAACGTTCGTCAATTTCAGAAAAGATCTTCAATTATCGCCTTAGTCGTGCACGGCGAGTTGTTGAAAATGCGTTTGGAATTCTAGCTAACAGATTTCAAATTTTACAAAGGGATATTAACTTATCAGTTGATAAAGTTCAGGATATTACTTTGACGTGTTGCGTTCTGCATAACTACATTAAAAAAAACGACGGAAAAAGTTATCTTCAAGGTATAGATCACGAAAATACTGAATCTGTTAATATAACAAATGGTAGTTGGAGAGAAGAAGTTTTCTCAACAAGTTTACAAGCATGTACGGTTAATCGATCTCCAAATGATGCAATGAAGATCAGGTCAATTTTCACCAAATATTTTAATAAAGAAGGATTTGTGCCGTGGCAATGGGAAGCAGTAAAAAAATTTAATTTTTAAGTGAATTTATTATACATCATTTATCTCGATGCCAATCTTTTTACGTTGAATAAACTGTTTTTTAAAATGGTATAAAATGTTATTTATTTCGTGCTTAGCTTCGTTCTGCAACTCTTCGTCGTCAATTCCCTGCAGCTCTTTGCTTACAAACCGACCGAATTCGCAAACTTCATCAATTTTCGGCTTCGGTCGGTTTATTTCTTCAAGCACCTTCAAGGTTTTCGTCATTATGACGTCATCTTCCGCTGAAGTTTTTCTATTTTTTGCTCTTTGTACCGGCTTTGGTGACAATACTTGTAGTGAAGCGTTTAATCCAGAGGACATTGAGGAGGACAATACGTCGTTCGACCCACTCTCCTGGATATCCTCTAGATCTGTAACCAGATCGTTGTCTATTTCCTCCAACATAAAGTTGGGTTGGCTTTGATTTTCATTGTCATGCTAAAATTTAGCATAAAACACTGCACTATACACGTTGTTACACCACTTACCAATACATCAATACTACTTTTACCCTTCCTAGGCTTAATGAATTGCTCTAGGAACTGCAATTTCTCAAACCACCATACTGTCGGTTCATAAATTTCATCCGTACCCATTCCAGAATGAGTACTTGCTCTAATTTTATTTAATTCGTGATTGTATTGAGATCTCAGATTTGTGATTTTTTTTTTCGCTTCTTCGACAGTTACTTTCAACCCTTCATTTTCTTTCTTTAAAGTCTCAACAATTTTATTATATGCTTCTGCCCGTGCATGTTTGTTTTTGTAAAATTGATGTTTGACGTCATACAGGCACGGATATTTTTCAAATTGTATTATAAATTTTTCCATAGTACTTTTCGTCCATTCAAACTAATCAAAACAATGAACACAATTTAATCATCGTCAATAGCTATTATTTTAAATAATATACTTACTTTTTCCATATTTATTTAAAAATATTGTAAAGACAGAAAACAACTAAACCAAGCGACACACCAACAAGCACCAAGCACGAAGATCTCGAGTAAAATAAACAGTTTCACGGGCTAGGATCAGAGGCTCGGTCGATCTATAATAACCTCACTTTCAACTGCCAATTTATTTTAATTTCTTGAAAAAAGCGCGAAATTTAAAATTATCGTACGAGAACTCTCTTCAAAATAGACCCCGTCCTATTCTGGAAATCTGCTATGATTTGCTTATGACCGCTCTTATGATTTGTGTTATGGGTGAAGTAATATGAGAAATCATACAGTGTAAACACGAAAAAAGCTGCACTAGGAGAAGTCATATGAGAAGTTATATGACAAATCATGCAGTGTAAAGGCACTTTAACAGTAATGATATACAAAATAAGGTCATACAAATGCGATAGTTAATCATATTAAAGTGTTCACGCGTTTTAACACACACCTTTAGCATATTTACAGGTCGAATATGTAGGTACGACTTTTGCTAACTGTCAGACTTATTTAGCGCAACCAGTCCTCATTTATGATTCCTCAATAGACAACAATGACAAAATAATGATAATAAAATATGGTGGTATCGGCATCTACATTTTTCCAAATATTTTACACTTTGCTTCTCAGTATTATGGTTTTCAAACCGTTTTAGCAACACCGACCAAAAAATATCGTGCCATATGTATATCCATGATCAAAACAACTAGTTAAGTGCCATTAAAAAAAATTGCCATTTATGATTCTCTGGTTCCGATTGAGCCTGAGACTTAATAAGAGAAAAATTTTGTACAGCCATAATTTTAAAATAATAATAATAATCTGTCCGTAGTTGTAGAGGTTATATGTTTAATAAAAACGTCAGGAAACAACAAGTGTCTTATCTTTATCATTTCTCTAGATGCTTAAAAAAAATAATAAAATTTAATTATCTACCGTTCAACTTTTTTTGTAAAATAGTGTTATTTTTTTAATGCTGAATTTATTCCACAGGTGTGTTGCACACTGGTAATAAAATCATAAATTCATACAACTTTACTCAATCAGATGTAGTCGAAATTGGGAAAAATGACTGAAAGAGTAATCCCCTTAGGGGGTGACAGTACCTACTTAATCTTTGAATTTTTTTCCAGACGATATCTATGTCAGTGGAGTAACATAACGATCTTTATAAGAATTGTTCATTATTTGTTATATCTTGCCTCTTCTAAGTAGAAACAAAAACAAAAAACAAAAAAGTTGACAATCACTTCAATCAACTGACGAGCGGTACCTTTCATGTTTGATCTAATTAGTACTATAGCGACGACACCTCGGTCACTAATTTAAATTACTTCAGTCCGATTGGTACTGAGCTACGAATTTGGACTCAGATAATATGAGGATCACACTGTTTTGATAGCTAATTTACAAATTTCTTACTTACTTATTTAATATATAAAAAATAGTTCAGTTTTCTATTCAGCAATGTAAGTTTGGTAGTGATACAGGGCTTTTATAAATTATGCCTCACTATGACAGTTCTCACTTGTCATTAATAACATTTGTCACCTGTCATTTAAAGTCGTTTTTATTGTTTTAACCGTCGTCTTCGTTGATTCACTATTAAAGTCTCTCCAATCCCTTAAATGTGACATGTGGGGGCGCATACGTCGGGAGGGAAAGGAATCTGTAATGTCGGCTAAATGTCTGTCGTGGTCTGACTTTTTGACACAATTTGACATCATGTGTTTCGGTTTTTACTTGAAAAAGAGGCAAAATTTCGGTACCAGTGCCAAAGTCACAACGCCATGGGCGTGGATGATCTTCAAAGGGATATGCAGTAGGAAAGCTTTCTTTGAGGTGTTTACATTGTTATCGGAATGTGTCTCAGGAATTATGAAGCTGCATTCTGGATCACGTTTAGTACTTGCTGGGGAGCTTGAAGAAATAGGAACAGGTAGCGGTGACTTGGAACCATGGAGGAACAAAATAGGAACAGAGCCGGGTTTAAGTCTTATTTGTATAATAACAACTTCTCTCAAAGTGTTTACCACAAATGTATAAATTGTTTGCAGTATTATCACCTGAAATGGTTTTAATGGCTATACATTCCCTTAGGCATTGATTAAATACATATAGATAGACCCATGCTATTGTTTGGAGCGAACAGGCCAACGGCCGGCGAACAAGAGATGGCGCACCAACGGTCGGCCGTCAAACGCCGGCGAAAAGCTTGGACACCAATCACGCGCATAGGTAACACAAATCACACAAATAATATATTTAATGAATCTACCACTCGATAGAGGGCGACGAAAAAATGTGTAAAAATCTCATAGTCACCATTTAAATAATTTGCAACGTTGCCAGATGAGCCTAACACAAATTTGCCGTTATTTCTAGCCAAGTAGGTTTTATTTCGTTTAAAAGTTTCTGATAAAGAAATGGGATTATTATAATGAATAAAAATAAATAAAACAAACAAATTATTACTTGTTATTTTAAATACTTGTTAGTCCTAACATTATTATAAATACGGTCCGGTAACTCAAATTTTATAGAAAGAGTGAGATGTTTCAGGACGAGGCGACCGTAGGGAGCCGAGTTTTTAATTTCGAAACGAGTTCTGCGAAAAGAGTTATCGGAGGTATGTCGTTATGGATTTTATTTCATACTGTCAACATATTTTTTTTGTTCGATAAAATAATTACTATTTTGGAAAAAGTCCAAATCAAGTCACTTTTTCTGACATCGTTAGCAACCGCTGTTTGGCTAATGTTTTAATTTGTTTATTCGTGCAAATCAGCATCAAATGTTTAAACTAAAATTTATTAGTCTAGAGACGGACAGATATATACTAAAGACAAAACATATCCATTCATATATGTCTTAAAAAACGGGTAACATATGCCGCATAAACTAAAAAATAAGACATTTTCTTTCACATTTTATATTGTAAATGCAATTAAGTATATCGATAACTCGCTACTGAAAATTTATTGAAATATAATTTCTGCAAAAAAAAAGATTGTTGTGGTTTTATGGTTTATTGACATAGTTTACTTATTTAAAATGAATATTTTTCATACATAGCACAAGTTCTTGATATTATTTATTTTAATTTCAAATAATAATTGTGTTTCCTTTAGTTTTAACCAAGAAAATTTTTCGGTTATTATCCAACATACTTTTGTACATTAAGAAACTCCATTCTACGTCGCGGGACGTTACAGAACAATATTTAAGTAAATAAGCTTTTCCAAAAAGAAGTCGTTTTTATGTGTTTTAAAACTCACTCTTTTATCTCCGGACTTTCGGCTTTTTAGTGTTTCACTTCGACACAAGAATATAAACAGTGGAAAAATGGAACAGTCTTAAAAACTATTCATCTATTTGTTCTGTCTTGCAGCGAGAAAGGAATATAGCATATTGTACCCACATTTCATAGTAAAAATATGGATCCGGTTTAAAATTTTACCTACCTACTTAATTACGTTAACAAACTAAAATTTTCATTGAAGAGAAAGAGACAGACTGTTCTAGGAAACTTTATTACAAATCTCTTCATTTACGAGCTGCTGAAGGACCGCCGGTCTCATTGATAATTCTTACCTACTTCAGTTCTTACCTGGCTTGTACTTAAGAATGAAGCGAAAAACGTTCCAACAATAAAAACCAAAATGTACAGACTGGAAATATAGTAAATGGGGTAGTACCTACATACAAACGTATGCGTAATAGTTCGTTAGACATTAGGTATTTATCAAAATTAACCAAATCTCTTAGTTTACGCACTATTGGACGAGCACTCCTTAAAACGGTCAGAATACTTAATCGCATTATTCCATTCACACCTACCTTAAACTTTGCCAGATGAACCTAACACAAATTTGCGGATATTTCTCGTCAACCTGGTAATATTTGATTTTGAAGTTTCTAGAAGTATCTCAATGGGAATATTATAATGGACAAATAAAACAAACAAATTATTGTTATTATTATTTGTTGTTTTAATCCATTAGACGCTTATAGACTATCGCATACTTTTTTTGAAAAATCGGTAATAAATTCGGTGAAGCATCTTTGCCCCTTAATTCCTATGGGTAAATTGGGATTTTCAATAGAGATCGCAGAAACATTTTTTATGGTTTTATGGTTTATTTACATAATTTACTTATTTACAATGAATGTTTTTAATATATAATACAAGTTCTTGATATTATTTATTTTTATTACAATTAATAATCTTGTGTTATTTTTCATTTTCAACAAGAAAATTTTGTCGCTTATTATCTAACATATTTTTATACTTTTATAATGCGATTAAGTATTCTGACCGTTTTAAGGAGTGCTCGTCCAATAGTGCGTAAACTAAGAGATTTGGTTAATTTTGATAAATACCTAATGTCTAACGAACTATTACGCATACGTTTGTATGTAGGTACTACCCCATTTACTATATTTCCAGTCTGTACATTTTGGTTTTTATTGTTGGAACATTTTTCGCTTCATTCTTAAGTACAAGCCAGGTAAGAACTGAAGTAGGTAAGAATTATCAATGAGACCGGCGGTCCTTCAGCAGCTCGTAAATGAAGAGATTTGTAATAAAGTTTCCTAGAACAGTCTGTCTCTTTCTCTTCAATGAAAATTTTAGTTTGTTAACGTAATTAAGTAGGTAGGTAAAATTTTAAACCGGATCCATATTTTTACTATGAAATGTGGGTACAATATGCTATATTCCTTTCTCGCTGCAAGACAGAACAAATAGATGAATAGTTTTTAAAACTGTTCCATTTTTCCACTGTTTATATTCTTGTGTCGAAGTGAAACACTAAAAAGCCGAAAGTCCGGAGATAAAAGAGTGAGTTTTAAAACACATAAAAACGACTTCTTTTTGGAAAAGCTTATTTACTTAAATATTGTTCTGTAACGTCCCGCGACGTAGAATGGAGTTTCTTAATGTACAAAAGTATGTTGGATAATAACCGAAAAATTTTCTTGGTTAAAACTAAAGGAAACACAATTATTATTTGAAATTAAAATAAATAATATCAAGAACTTGTGCTATGTATGAAAAATATTCATTTTAAATAAGTAAACTATGTCAATAAACCATAAAACCACAACAATCTTTTTTTTTGCAGAAATTATATTTCAATAAATTTTCAGTAGCGAGTTATCGATATACTTAATTGCATTTACAATATAAAATGTGAAAGAAAATGTCTTATTTTTTAGTTTATGCGGCATATGTTACCCGTTTTTTAAGACATA